CGATTTCCAGGTGCAAACTGGAGGCTGGCAACCCTCCGGGTACCTCTGGTCCAGCATTGGTATTTCTATTATGGGAAGAAGATTCAGTAGGATCCAGAGGTCTTTTCAAGATTGAATGTATTCACAAAATTAGATGGCAAGCAAGCAGCGACCCAAGCCAGCCGGCATCCGCTTTCCGCTGCAGTGTTGCAATGGGATCGGTGTCCTCGGCTTGAGTCAGTTATTTGTTTATAGCCATTGCCAGTGAATAGAACAGATCAAGTGGGCTGGCTAAAGATATCAGTACTCCTGGGGAATAGTCCCATATGGTCTGAAAGGTGCCGTGTATGTGTGCATTCGTGTGACAGTGAGTTTCCATCTCGTCTTCTCCAAATGGCCCAGCCATAAGTTCCTACAGTTTTTAAAAAGTAGTGTGCAGAGCCAAAAGAGAGCACTCGGGAGGAATGGTATTCTCCCGGCACAACATAAATGCCCCTGCCCAGAAGCAAGAGTCTAGCACAAAAGCAGCAAGAGAAGAAACTGTCTTTGTAGCAACAGTAGAAGAGTATTCTGGCTGAAGAACCTGTCTTTGCTCTTCCGCCCAGGTAAGCCATCATGGGATTTCTCTGACAAAGTAACACAAAGAGTTAGTTTTGCCTTTCAGGTTTTTCTTTTACTCAGAGCTTGGGCTTGGCTTTTACTAATGCATTTGCCAATTTTCCTTCACTTTACAACAGCTGTTTTCTCAAGACAGCCACCTGGGAAACTCCTCTGCACAGGAGAAATGGGTAAAATGATCAATCCAAGGTACTTACCATGCACTTTGCCGAGGGAAGAAAACATTCTCCATGCCGAACTAATGCCATAGGAAACATCCTGGGATTTCTCCAGACAGAACATTTCGGGGGCGGGGGGGGAGGGAGGCTACAAGAGCCCTAAGCCTGCTGCATAAAATGATGTCTGATTGTTGTGCAAGTGCAAAAACAATAGACTTGATTCTAGGGCATTCATGACTGAGAAAAGGCAGGGAGAAGTTTTCTCTTGGGAAACTTCTGCTAGCCTAAAAGGTTGGACAAAATAGTCCAAAAGAGTGCGATGGCCCTGGGTAAGGAAGACACCCTGATGGTCATCGTGAGGATTTCCCCAGACAATGTGGTTTTTTAAGGGGGGGGGATCTTGCAGCTTTGAGGGAGGGAGCCAGCCAGCCACAACACCCCCTAGGAAAGTGCTTCTGCTAAACCATTTTCTGAGCTATCAGAGAAGTTATTCCAGGAGCTAGGAAACAGCAAACACTACCCAGAGAGCCAGTTTGGTGTAGTGGTTAAGTGCGCGGACTCTAATCTGGGAGAACCGGGTTTGATTCCCCACTCCTCCACTTGCACCTGGCTGGATGACCTTGGGCAAGCCATAGCTCTGATAAGAGCTGTTCTTGAAAAAGAGCAGTTTCTGTCAGAGCTTTCTCAGCCCCACCTACCTCACAGGGTGTCTGTTGTGGGGAGGGGAAGGGAAAGGAGTTTGTCAGCCGCTCTGAGACACCTTTGGGCTGTGAAGGGCGGGGTATAAATCCAATCTCTTCTCCTCTTCTCTCTTCTTCTACCCCAGACCAAATGTGTTGGCTGCAACAATGTTAGGACATATACTATTGGACGGGGCACAAGAATATCAATCCGGGGTGTGCCAGCAGTTTCCCCCCATTGTCTTGCACAATTGTGAAATGCCACCCATTCATATATATTTTGTCACACTCTTGCTAGCTCTAAAGCATGCCAGCTTTAAGGTTTTTCTGCAAAGCCCTCGCCTCCCTCACCTCAGCAAGGCCTGCCCCATTCTCCTCCAATACACAGGGATGGGATCAGGGATATATTTGGATCACAGGGCAAACACAACTAAATTATTGTACTAGCCTCCTAAAGATGTGGATTGAGAGTCAGTGTGGTGTTTAGAGTGTCAGTGTAGGAGCGGAGGTCAAATCCTCCCTTTGCCATCGCTGAGAGTTTTTGAGCCACTCGTCCCTCTCAGCCTGTCATACACAGGAGGGTTGTTGTGAGGAAACAATGGAGGAGGGGAGAGCCACATGTGTTGCCTTGGAGGAAACACAGATGAGTTTCTGGAAAGGCTTTTGCATCTTTACTCATGGAGGAAAATGGCCTTTCTTTTGGGAAATGAAGCAAACAATTGCAGACTTATTCTGGTGGGCTCATCATCATAGGAACGATGCCCATCCTAAGGAAAGAATGTTTATTCTCAGGGACACTGGGGACAAAGGAAGGAAACCACAAATACCGAAAGCTCCATCTCCTGTGTGGCTCCATAACGTCACTGCTTATACTGTCTTCGGCAACCAAACATCTTCACAGGGAGTTGTTTATTCCCCTTTCTCGAAGGGACACACTCACAAATAGTATTCTTCTTTAGCTAGTAAGTCAGCCATAGATGAGGCCCTTCAAGAACAATGAGCGGGTTGTGTAAGTTTGACCACTGAACTTGCATGACTGCTGTAGTATTTGCTACATGTCTGAGGAGAAATGCAGCCTTTCTTTGCTTCAAGTTAAGTCCCTTCCTGGTGGATGATAGGACACTTGCACATTGCACTGATATGGGCCCTCACAATGAACATAAGTAGAGCCCTGCTGGTTCAGGCCAGTGCCTCATCCAGTTCAGCTTTCTGGTTCACACAGTGGCCAGCCCCAGACTGCCTAGTTCAAGAGCCCCAATTAGGGTTGTCAGCTCCGAGTTGGGAAATACCTGGAGACTTTGAGGGTGGAGCTTGGGGAGATTTCTTGTTGAAATCTGTTGAGGCATCAGTCTTTTACTGAGCACTGTTTGAGACAGGTTTTTAGATTTATTTTAATGGTCAATTTGTTGTATTGTGAATTTTATGATAGAACCTGTCCTGAGCCCACTTGCGGAGAGGGCGGGATACAAATTGAATTAGATAGATAGATAGATAGATAGATAGATAGATAGATAGATAGATAGATAGATAGATAGATACCATAACAGCGCTGAGCCACTGTGGTGTAGTGGTTAGCAAGTGAGAACAGGACCTATGGAAACCTGGTTTCAAGTCTCTACTTTGCCATAGAATCAAGTTGTCGATTTACACACAATAGAGTATGCAGGGGTCCCCTCTGTGCAACCAGGGATTTGATCAGAACCACAGCCTGCAGGCAGAAGGGGTTTCACACACATACACAACACCAGAACCCTCATTTCACATTGGACTCCACACCCAACCTGTATACTCTGTAATGTATGAATCAGGGCTAGGGTTGCCAGCTCAGAGTTGGGAAATACCTGGAGATTTTGAGGGTGGAGCTTGGGGAAGGCAGGATTTGTGGAGGGAAGGGACCTCAGCAGGATATAGTCCCATACAGTCCACCTTCCAAAGCAGTCATTTTCTCCAGGGGAGGTAATCTCTGTCGTCTGGAGACCAGTTGTAATTCTGGGAGATCTCCAGCTTCCACCTGGAGGCTGGCAACCCTAGCCCTGATTCATACATTACAGAGTACCCAGGTTGGGTGTGGAGTCCAATGTGAAATGAGGGTTCTGGTGTTATGTAGCTAGGTCACTGTAGCTAGGTCATGGGGGCTGAGATATGGGACCAGCCACCTGATCCGCCTCAGGTGGGAAAAGGCAGACCTAGCAGTGGTGGGGACCTGGGCCTCCCTAGTCAGCGAGGCATCCGGGACCACCCCCGGGCTCTTCACCCTCGACGTCAGCTCCAATGGCGCCCCGTCAAAGGTTCGAAGCCTGATTTTAAAAGACTATACACTGCAATCATTGTTATAAATACATATCGAAGTGTTAGCATTCATTGACATTTATTCTGAAGAGAATGTTACCGAAATGTATTTGTCTCTTCTGTAAGGGTGAATGCCTTTGGCCCAGTTTTAAGGCAGACACTTCCCAGGATGCAACAGTTCCGTCCTTGTACTGGCACATTTCATTGCCCCCAATGCGCAGAGGGTGGATGTCCTCTTCCGACGCCCAGATCCAATCTGGATACAGTGGAATGGGCCCTGATCCTTTGGGCACTGGTATGGGAGCATGCAGGTACACACTGATTGACGTTCTGTGAACAAAAAAAATTAGGACCAGCTGTGAATGATCTGTGCTTCGTTCTCAACAAACACGAGTTTGTTATTATCATTCTGTCACTAAAACAGCTATTAGGCTGCATTTCTAGGGTCACCAGTTCTGGGGGGGAGACACCTGGAGATTTGGGGGGGGTGGAGCTTGGGGAGACTGGGTTTTTTGGGGAGGGCAGGGACCTCAGGAGGGTACAATGCCATACAGTTCACCCTCCAAAGCAACCTTTCACTCCAGGGCAACTGATCTCTGTTGCCTGACAATCAATTGTAATAGTGGGAGACCTCCAGGCCCCACCTGGAGGTTGGCAACCCTAATGCATTCCCCCCTGCCCTGAGTCTTTTTTGACACTGCAGTAATTTCTTTTATTGCAACCAGGAGCTGGCTCTGTCAAGCCAGTCTTAGGGTTACCAACAGGCCTGGAGGAAAAAAAATGTCCTTTCTCTTTCAAAATATGTGGAAATGGGGAGGCGAAGCTTTTCATCGTATGTAGCAAATGACGACATCTGGCACACGACATCCCATCAAGCCTCTGTCAAGGGAGAGGACGTTTTTCTCCAGGCCTGTTGGCAACCCCAGCCCCTCTACCCACTGCTGCCTCGTCTTGAGAAAGCTGATTCAGTCCGCGGTTTTCACACTGCATACAATTTTCTTCTCTCTAGTCCCAGCCTACCAATCATTAAAAAAAAAATGAACTCTAGTCCAGAGTGTCCCTTATATAGGTGTGAGACAGAGAGAGGGGTGAGATTACATTTGGGCTCCAGGTGTGAACATGTTCTCTTCTTTGGGCTGAAACAGGATCACATCAGGAAGGAGGGACAGGAAAAATAAAACCAGACAGATCTTCTGTTTCCTGGCAGAAACTTAATGGGTGTGTTCTCAGCCAAGGCAATTTACGAGAAACCCCACAATTTTATCACCAAGTAAAAAAAAAACAAAAAAAACTTGCATAAGGGGACACTGACACACACTTTCACTTTCTTGGAGACTGAACGCTCCAAAAGCCTCTCTCTCCCTCTCTCCTTCGCTGAAACCATAAATCAATATGAATCTCACACAGACAGACTTTTCCGCTGTTTTTCATACTCTCGTCTAAGCCAAATACACCAACCCGCCGCAACTCAAACAATAATTCTTTTGTGTTTCAATGGGACTTATTCCCAAGGAGCACAGGACTGCAACCCAAAAGAGTTTTTATAAAGAATACTTCATGGAGTTATGGTTTGATCATGCTCTTACAGAAAAGCAAACAAACAAACAAAAAAAGGAAAGTTAAGTTAGCTTTAGGATGAAATGTGATGCAGCAGCAGCAGCAGAGCTGTGCCTTTCCTTGTTGCAGAAGCCAAGAGCTGAAGGTTCATGTTTGGAGTGCAAAGTGCGGATAGGTGGGAAATGGACACTTCTTCTCCTGTTCACAGCTTTCTTCCCTGCAGCCCAGTATCCCATCCCTGCTCACTTCTACAATATGTGACCAATCTAGCAGGGAGATATGCTGCAAGCAGCGTTCCCTCTAAGCTGCAGAGCCTTGTGAGCAAAAATTCTGCTGTGTGAGCTACTGCTATTAAAGTTGCGAGCGAGCGATATGGTTACTACCTGAATTCGTTTGCTCTGGAGCCCTCCTTCCTGAGCTAAGACAAAAATGCCTGAGCTGGAGGCTAAAAAACTGAGCTAGCTCACGCTAACTCAGCTTAGAGGGAACACTGGCTGCAAGTAGTGGGAGGAATGGCATTTATTCACACACCACCTTTCCCTTCTACAATCCTCACGGAAACCGGTAGCAACATGATTGCTCTAGATCTGAATTTAGCACACAAATCCCACTGGAAATATCAATGCAAAAAGACCCATGTGGTGGTTACAGCTCTGTGGGATGAAACAACAATCATACGGCTCTGCAGCAACTCCTGGAAGGGGACAGGGCAAGAACAGATCTCTCCGCCTTCTTCCAAACTGTTATTAAGGGACAGCCGCAATTGTAACCCTGGAGGCAGCCAGTTTAGAATCAGCAAGGCCTGAGAAGGGGGGCCTTTATTATGGAAATGAGATTTGCTGTTTCAACATCTTCAGTCTTCACAATCTGGTCTTTTAGGCCTCCATTGTGGTATCTTATTTCTTCCTGCTATCCATATCTAAGCAGGAGGCCATTTTATGGCAGAGAAAGAGAATACCAGAGACCCACAACAAACACTGTTTGTTGGCCAAATTTTGAAAAAGCACAAGTTCCCTCTGAAGCCAGAATCTGCCCTTGCAAGTCCTCAGAGCTGTTTCTTGACAGCTACTTCCAGATTCTTTGTCTCTGGCCAAATTCAAAACTGCCAAACTTTAAAGCAAAAAGATGCAACCCAAATCCTGCCATCTTGGAGAACCTATTGACCATCAAAGACCATGAATAAGCCCTTTACCACCCACTATTAAATGCCAGGTGGAAAATAATTTAACTAGGCAGAGGGGCATTTTGCAAACACAAAGACCATGGTGACCCCCATCCATGGGGCGTTCCAGGCAAGTGACAAGCACAGGTGGTTTGCCAGTGCTTTTCTGGACATAGTAAACCAGGTCTTCCCTCATGGTCTTCCATCCAAGCACTAACTGTGGCTGACCCTGCTTAGCATTCAAGTTCTGATGAGCTCAGGCTACGTTTGTGAATGTGAGTGTGTGGAAGCCTTTGTGAAAGTGGTCCATAAATTAATCAGATCATGCAATTAGTATACGCAAGCAGGTTATTTCATAGAGACAGCGCTTAACCTGTTGATCTGCGTGTCTGCCACTGGTCCACACTGTGGAACTGATACAGGACCTGTAGTTTTCAAGGCTGGCTTCCCTTAGGGAGTGCAGGAATGTATCCTTCAGGACATTTAGTCCTTAAGTCATGGGAACACACAATGAAATGTGAATGGGATATGTCACCATTTGGAAAAATCCTCCATTCAAGGCCCAGCACTCACTTATGAACCTTTGGGAAACGGGGACCGAGCTCACCTTCTGAGTCACCCCTTCCCCAGCGCCTCCTACCTGAACATGTTTCCCAGTCGTAACACTCATCATATCCGCAGGGCTCCTTCCTCAAGCTGTTTGGTGAAAGGCTGGCCCTCTCGGTTGCCCAGGTCAAATCGGTGTTGTCATTGCAGGGGCCAGGATGAAGGAAGTGGAGCCCATCATCACCCCTGCATTTCTCCGCCAGGTACCGGCAGCCGGGTTTTGTAAAGGCTTGAGCAGATGTGACATTCAGTACACAGATGTCTTCTGAGCCGAGACTGTGAAGAGGGAAAGGTTGGCAAGGAACTTGGCTCTGTTACACAGTCTTAATGCCCAGGTGACATATTTAACCCCTGATTCCTCCTCTGTTGCATTAGCGTGACTTTGACTATTCAAGATGGGTAGCCAGGTTAGTCTGTGGCTGGCAGTAGAAAAGAGCAAAAGTCCAGTACCACCCTTGCTCGAAAGCCAGTTGAATCCGACTCTAGGGTTGCGGTGCTCATCTCCGTTTCAAAGCCAAAGAGCCAGCGCTGTCCGAAGACGTTTCCGTGGTCATGTGGTCGGCATGACTAAACACCAAGGCGCACGGAACTCTGTTACCTTCCCACCGAAGCGGTACCTATTTATCTACTTGCAATTTCTTGCTTTCGAACTGCTAGGTTGGCAGGAGCTGGAACTAGAGATGGGAGCTCATAAAGATGAACAAAATCTGTGGCAGGGAATGAACTTTCATGAGTCACTGCTCACTTCTTTAGAGAAGTGACTCATGAAAGCTCATAACCTCCCACAAATTTTGTTAATCTTTAAGGTGGCACTGGACTCTTGGGCTGATTCTGCATTGGCTTTTCCCTCCGTTGTTTTATGAAACCCACACTGGAACAGAAATTCCCTTCTGAATTGCATGCTGGCTTCACTTCCTTTGATCATCGGGTTTTATGGTAGCCTCCACACTCCATGCCACTTTCGCTTTCTTTGATCATTGGATTTTATTGTACCTTTGGCATAGATTTATAGCCATTTTATGGCTGTTCAGGTGTGACTTTGCAGTCAGTACGGTGTTGCCCCAAAATATCTGAATGTGGTTTTGAGCTGCACTTTTCCCTCCCAGTTGAAAAAATGTGGAGCGAATGCTAGATGCAGAATTGCCCTTGCTCTTTTCTACCTCCACCATTCAGTGACTGCTCTGTGCCTCATGTGCAATGACGTCTACAAAGAACACTGACCCTATGTGCTGATGTTGTCTCTGGCTGCTTCCACTCTGTGATGGGACTCAGGTTCTGCAGAGGCATGCACAGTGGCAACAGGGCATCCACATGGCTGTAATGAATTGTCAAGTACTGATAAAGGAACTCCCTGCAGCAAAGTCCTCCACTGGAATGGTGGGGGTGGTGCCCACCAGGGGCTGGGGCGGGGAAGACGGCACTGACATGGGCAGGACTGGGAAAGATCAGCACTGTCCCTTCCCCCATGGCAACCACCCTGCTTTGACTGCAGTCTTTCCAAACTAATCACAGAAAAACGGGTTTAGGAAAGATCACGGCAAAACCAGGGAAAAGCTGCAATGTCATGAATGCACCATGATGCCATGAGGAAAAAGGCTGCTGTGCATTAAAACCTGAGCCCAACAAAATCGCCAGTATGGAATTCACCTTTAACATCAGCATCTGCATTCTCTGAGTGGGAACCAGAGGTGTATCCCAATCTTTTTTTGGTCTTTTTTATATGTGCATGTGTGTGTGCGTGCACCTGGAAGTCATGGCGACCTCTGGGGACTGACCCCTACTGGGGGCCTGGAGGATATTCAGGGAGGTGGCTGAATAAAGCCTGCCCCTGTCCTCCCAACATGGTAGTCCAAGGAAGTTGCCCCATCCAAGTACTTGTCAGAGTCAACCCTGCTTAGCTTCCGAGATCTGACAAGATCAAGCTTGCCCGGGTTATCCAGGTCAGGGCTGAGTATCCCAATCTTTAGTCTCCAGAAGGACATTAAGGTGACATGAAGGATGGAGAGGAGACAAGGAGTCATAGCAACTCCATCTTATACAGCTTGGCAAAGTGTGACCTCCCAAGCCCCAGGCAACCCACCCAACACAGAGGGCTGGATATCCCTTCTGTTTGCCGCCTGCCTGGAATTGCAAAACCAGGGAGGCCATCAAACAGCTGACCGGCCACAAGTAGGCAACATCTGGCTCATTCTTCTTACTTACTCACAGTCCTCCTCGGGAGACATGCACACGCATTGAGACTCCACCTCTTTCCGTCCGGGCCCGCAGTTGCCTTTGGAAATGATCTGCACATCTGAAAGAGTAACTGGCAATCGTCAAACTGTGGTGGTTTGGCCTAAACTGAACCATACGCTGCTGACATCACCACCTTGCCTCTGGGTAACAAGAAGGCCTCCTCACTTTCAGCCATTTCAGGAGGCTGCAGAGAGGAACAAATTATTGCCTGCACTATTGTACCAGTCTGAGAGGTGGTGGCCCTGGCTGCACTTCCCTTTGACTCACTGGCTGGCAAACTATAAAGAAGGAGGAGGAGGAGGAGGAGAAGGAGGAGGAGATTGGATTTATACCTCACCCATCACAACCCAAAGGAGTCTCAGAGCAGCTAACAATCTCCTTTCCCTTCCCCTCCCCACAACGGACACCCTGTGGGGTAGGTGGGGCTGAGAGACCTCTCTCAAGAAAGGCCCTTGAGAGAACAGCTCTGAAAGAACTTATGACTGACCCAAGGTCACACCAGCAGCTGCATGTGGAAGAGTGGGGAGTCAAACCCGGCTCTCCCAGATTAGAGTCCACGCTCCTAACCACTACACCAAACTGGCTCTGTGAAAATTATTTTTCCTAGTTTGCCAGGAAGATAAGTAGAATGTAGGTGTATGCCATTGTGAATCACCATAGTTAAGGGGGAAAATATGGATTAATGTGGTTTAGAACAATCCTTCTTGATCTGTGACCTACCAATCTTAGCACAGATTATCAATCACATATTTGCAGCCTGCCACAGAACTGACAAATCCCTTGTTTCTATGGTCCCGTGCAACCAGCAAAGTCAAGAGGTTCACTGGGTCTTTGGTGGCCTTCATTCAGCTCGGCAAATCACTAGTTGTGCACCCTTGATTTATAACAGTGATACCCAGCTTGTTCAGCCTTACATCTGAGAGCCAGTTTGGTGTAGTGGTTAGGAGCGCGGACTCTAATCTGGGAGATCTGGGTTTGATTCCCCACTCCTCCATATGCAGCTGCTGGGTGACCTTGGGCAAGCCACAGTTCTCTCAGAGCTGTTCTCTCAAGAGCAGTCCTCAAAAGATCTCTCTCAGCCCCACCTACTTCACAGGGCGTCTGTTGTGGGGAAAGGAAGGGAAAGGAGATTGTAAGCCACTTTGAGACTCCAAGTGAAGGGCAGGGTATAAATCCAATCTCTTCTCTCTTCTTCATCTGGCCCTGCTGATGGACCTCCTGATGGCAACTCGGCTTTGGCCACTGTGTGACACAGAGTGTTGGACAGGATGGGCCATTGGCCTGATCCAACATGGCTTCTCTTATGTTCTTATGTGGTGTGATTCAGAAGCCCTGTCCTGTTCCTTCTGGTTGGCCTCTGGGAATTCAGAAAATCTCCACAGCTATCCCAAGTCTCCGTCTGGTGCCACCACCCCTTCCCCTTGCTCCCCATGGGAGCAAAAAACAAACTGGGTAGCCACCTGCTGCCATCAATTACTCTGAATCTCCTGCTGGACTATGCCATACGACTAGCACTCTGCACCTACATTAGTGTTTAGAGACTCTGCCTAGTTGTCACACCTCCCACTGCACTCCCACAAGCAAGCACAGGAGCTGTCCATCACAAATTTGCAATTTAGAGCTACCATGCTCCAGGGATGGCGAACTTCCCTGCTGCTCCTCCCCATTATCACACTTCAGATAGCAAGACTAAACAGGTGTGGTGTTTTTCCAGAGATCAGATTAGAACATCTAAAATATAAGAAAGTGTAATAAATGAATAAAAATATTACACATGTTCTGTTTAAGCATTTCAGGCTGAGCAAGGAAACAAAGAAAAGGTGAAAACCTCTTTTCCTATACCAGGTGCTTCCTAAATTATTATATAGGACAGGCTAGCGTTACTTGAAGTTGCAGTAGTTTAAAGTTCATATGATTGGAAATATTTGTAATTGGTTAATATAGCAAAGCTGCATAGGCAGGACAGTGTGGTAAAACACCCTTCAAGCCAGATTCGAGTCCAGTAGCGCCTTAGAGACCCACAAGATTTTGGGGTATTTGCTTTCAAGAGTCAAAGCTTCCTTCCTCTGATACAAGTACAGATGGAGATCCCTGAGTTCTCATATCCCCATCTGGAGGGGTGTTGCAAAGAAAGGAGTCAAGATGAAGAACATATACAATCAAGGCTATTTTGGGGCAGGAACGCACAGGAACGGAGTTCCGGCTGGCTCCCGAGTTGGCCACGCCCAGCAGGAACTCATTAGCATAATAGGCCACACCCAACAGCAGAAACTCATTAGGATTGGCTACATTAGGGGTGTGTGGCCTAACATACAAAAAAGCTCTGGGTTTTGACAACAAACAAGGTAAACAGAACAACAAGCAAAAGGTGGGTGTGGCTGGATAA